GGGGAGGAGGGGGGGGGAGGGAGACTATACATTTTTGTTTATTATTTGTTTTTTGGTGTATGTGCATATTGTTAGTGGCCATTGTCGCCTATAGCGAAAGGCACACAGTGTCGATGATAATAATGATGACAATGAAAACGCCGACCACGACATCAAAAACTACAGAGGAAGCCTGCTTGAGAAAATGTTCCAGAGTTAGCCACACCACCTTGCAGTAGACTTCGGGGAGAGGGAGGGGGGGGGGTCAAGTAGTGAGGGTAAAAAACAATAAACAAACAGACATAAAGCCAGAATGAACAAAAACTCCAATATCAATAACCGTTTCATTTGAAGTGGGCCGGTGCCGGCTAACTACAGCAATAGCCAGAGTAGGAAAATAACAATCAGCCTGTTCATCTACGCCTCACTCGTGACTAATGCACCATTCATACAGTCAAATGAGCAGTATCATCAAAGAATGATTCACGGCCGACCGGTTATGATCACAATTAGAAAAAAAATATTGCACTGAGTTTGGGGACCTCCCCCATTGTGATCGTTTCATAACTTTCATAAGACTCAGTTCTGTGATTTGTCTCTCCCTCATTCCTACCCGTATCCAAAGACACAAATATCTGTCCCCATCATATTTATTCCTTTCGCTCATGCCTCTTATTGCTTTCCCCCTCCATCCAGTAAAATTTGAATCCCCCCCCGCCCTGTTTCTTGCCCTCTATCCGGTAAGATTTGAATCCCCCCACCCCCTTTCCTTTTTTTTTCTTATGTCCAGTTTTGTCTTCGACATCCCCTCGTGTCTGGCCGCTAGAGACCGGCTAGCTACCTGTGTACGGGAGAACGAAGGTGAGAGTCACTATGTGTGTGTGTGTGTGTGTGTGTGTGTGTGTGTGTGTGTGTGTGTGTGTGTGTGTGTGTGTGTGTGCGCGAGCGCGCGTGAGCCCCGCGCGTGCGTGTGTGTCCTTGTCAAATCCCCAATGATACGCTGGCAAACATGGATCTCTTGACCAAGTTTCCACGCCTCTGTGAAGTCATAATGGAAAGTATCGTTAAACTATAAAAGCACTGTGGGTGGGTGGCGAGTACTCTGGTGAGGTTTGCTTCTTGCTTCTTCTTTCCAATCAAACATCTATGGTCCTTATCTCCCCTTCTTCTTTTTTATGTTTGCTACTCTCTTGTAACACCTCTAATCTTCTGGCGCTCATTAGACCATATGTAGTTTCGAGTGCAGTAAAACCTCTACCAAAACTAAACTAATCTATAAAAGTGAGAAGTCGCCGTTTAATTTTTACTGTGCTGAAAATGGGCGGTTAACTGGTACCTTACTATTGCGGCACAGAAAACCTGACACCGTGTCGAGCAAGGAGAACTGAACTTTTCACGAAGCGTCACAAACAAATCAAATGCAGCCAGCATAAAAGTAAATAACATTCTCGTGTTACGTTCGTAAACGTTCGAGGAAAATGAAATCAACAGCGAATCGATCTCGGTTAAATGGGTCAATAGATTCCTCTCAGATATTGAAAAGGGCTTAAAAAAGATTAAACTATAAAAGTGGTGAGATAGTCGAAAGCCCCCCC